TTTTTATTAGTTAAAAAAGTTTCAAAAATCCAATAGATTTCGTTCCACTTCACAATTGTGTCCCACTTGTTGGTGATTCTTCACATAAAATAAAAATTTTATATCTTTATGTTTGAAGCCTGAAATGTGGCAAAAGGTTGAAAAGTTCAAGGGGGCCGAATACTTTCGCAAGGCACTGTATCTAAATGTATGGTGTTGAAATGCATTCGCACCCCAACAATAAGTATTTTGTGAAGCTTGCATTGGCTTTATTTGAGAAGGTGCTGTCAGTAGCCTCTTATATGTTCTTAAAATGCCAATGAGGATATTTGACCACCACTGAATGCAGAATGTTAGCAGACTGAAATACCTAAACAAAGTACTGTACATGCTTTTTCACCTCATACTATAAATATTCTATGAGAAAATACGCCCATCAAGAGAGCACTGACTTTATGCTCTGTTAATGACCACCTGGTGGTCATTGTGACACTCTATTTTGACACTCTATTTTAATAAAACATTCAGGTGAACTTTATAATTCCTTCGTTGTAACAAGGACTCTAGGACCCAAAGATGTAAGCCACCCTTAAAACATTATAAATCCATTCTTTATTCTTTTAGAATGTATTCTTTGTCAACATTACTGTACCTTCACTTTTCTTTTCTTATCATGCTCCTGTTGAGACTGTCCAAAACCTCAATTTGTGTTTTATTTAATAATACTCTATACCATTTCATTTGGGAGTACATTAGTTGCTTTTAGATGAATTTATGTCGCTTACTACTATATTCCCTTGGAACCTTGCCACATACCACATAATTATTAACTCAGCTTCAAAAGTCAGTAAGATCCGTTGCCTGATCACCACCATCAGGGACAGAGGACTGAGCATTTTGTACATTACCAGTACTGCTCACTAGCCGGGTCAGATCATGATTTCAGTGAAGTGGATCATTCTCCAGATTTGAAAATGACAGTGTTTTCATGGTGAAATTTGCTAAAGAAGGGTTGTAGAGAAATTTCCTATGAAAAGTCTCAATTAAGTTGTGTGTCAGATGGGATCTTGTCTCTTATGAAATTATCGGCCATTAGAAAAAACAAAAAGTACAACATTTTCTTTATGAATCTGCTTCTGGATCTAATACCTGATTGAGGCAAAGGCCCTAAGGAACATAAAATGAAATTTTGCTCCCACAGAAAAAAAAGATAAATAATGTAAGGCTTTGTGTTTTCTGTCCTCCCAAGCACATCAGTTTCATACCATCATAAGTAGGACCCGGAGATCCAGAAACCAGTCAGCAGGCAGCAGTTCTTGTTGGCGCAAATAGGGTCCTTCAATAATACCAATAACATGGAGGGTAACACTAAGGCTGCAACCATTGGGTCAATGGGCAGGAAGCCAGTGAGATTTGCTGCTTCTACTCCTTACTTAACTGTTTGACACAAGAGCACCAATTCAGTCTTTCAGCTATGAAAGGCACCCAGTAGGAGTGCACTCAATAAGACTGCTGCTCCATCCTGAAGATGGGAAATTGGTTACAGTTTTCTTCATGGCCGGCCAGCCCCACTCTGAAAGGCACCATCATGCAAGGAGCACCAAGGCTCAGTATCCTCCGGTCTTTCACCTCCCAACCTTCCCTATGTCATCTACCATAGAAGCATCATCCAGGGCAGAGGGAACAGAACCAGTCATGAATATCATGTCCAGGGCAGAGACTCATATGACTCCTGAGAGGGAACTTCCCTCTCAGTTGCCGCAGAAGCCTGCCCACCTGTGAAATAAGACTCCTCCAGTATCCAGACAGTGGATCCATAACGTTGTGAAAGTATCAGATGCCTAAAAACATTATAGGATTACATTTTATCTGGATATGTTAAATTCCCATATGATTTAATATGACTTAATTCCCAAAAGTAAAAAAATCTTGATGTACAGGACACCTGAAAATATTTTTGCTAAATTAACATTGAGTTACAGTTTATGAAACCTTAGATTATTTTAATGCAGGCTTTATTTAAAACCCTGAGCAGTGGATGCAATTTGGAATACATCTTCTTAATCACAAATCCTAATCTTCAAGAACCCCTCTTACACCTTGTTTTCCTGTTTAAACATGTTTGAGGAGTGTCCAGATATGGTTATGTTTTGGAAACATTTTATCTTTGACCATTTTATCTCTGTATTTCCTGTTAGAATCAATTGACCTTGACCTGTCTTGACATCATTCGCATGGAATTATCATCTACTTAGTCTGTGGGAGGGAAGATACACAGTGGAGGCTTAAAGTGCTGCTGCTGCCTTATTAAATAGTGCTTATATTGAACCTGCAAAATGTTTTTACCACCAATAGTAAAAGTACCACCAATGTCTGAAGGAAAGGAGAGTAGAAGGAAAGTGGAGTTGTTGCTTTTTTAAAATAATTTCTTCTGCTTTGAGAAGTAAGAACTATAATTAGAAGTATAATTAGGAATAATTGTGGAAGCTACTCTATATTGAAACAACAGAAAACCAAAGATACTTCCAGGCAATACTGACAAACATTGCAGCTCTATAGTAAAAATAAGAAAACCACATGTAACTATTTAAATATAAAATGTCAATATAATCAGTAATAAGTAATTGTAGCAAGCATCTTTTCCAAAACTCTGATATGATTTCTTAACAGAAAATGTAACTCATGAAGGATAATCACCGAATATGAATCCAAGAAATGCAATTTATATAACACACAACCAAATGAGGAAAGAAATTCACCTCACGCAGGCGGGATTTCCATATTTCATCTCCGTGTATCTGTGAAGCATTTGTTTTGTTCACGAACCCTTCATTCATATCAGGACATCTCCATTTGGGCAAAGCAAGAATTGCCAAGGTAGGAGTAACAAAGCTAAATGTTCCTCCTTGAAGAATAGGCAATCTATATAATGCAAATTTACAAAATACAGATATACAAATCAGCTTTAATCTTGTACTGTGAATCTAAGGTCAGTCAGGCTGCACCAAAAGTGAACACAATGACTGTAATCTGTATAAACTTACTTGCCAAACTGATGGCATACCTGATTGTTATCAGCAGTGACTCTTTTATTTTATTTTTATTTTTGATTGTGGACTGTATTTAATAATACAAGATAGTTTTGGGAAATCAAATTCCCTATATTTTTTTAAAATATCAACACTTCTGAAACTCCAAGTGCATTTAGATATTTTTAAAGCCGTTATAAAAAAACTTAAGCCAGTAAAATTATTTTCTTTTATGGTAGTATCTATTATTAATTTATTAAGTTTAACATGCAGAAGAAGAATAGTACAACAAAATAAACATGTAATACCTGGTTCCAAAGGTCGTCTGAAGCAGCGTGCTCAAACCAGAAACAAAGAATATGGTACTGATGAGTTGGCTTTTAGCTGCATTATTATCTCCAATGCACATAGGTTCAGCCAGAATGAGTGGAATAGCAATTATGCCACCAAATGCTAGGATATAATGCTGTGAAAAAAATAGAACATAACTTGTTAGATTTCTTTGAACAAGCAACACCAGTAATAGATGCATAAAGGCAATGTGATATGGTGTATTTAGATTTTTAGAATGCCTTTGATAAAGTTCCTCATAAAAGATGAATTCTCAAATTGCAGAAAGTAGGTATTCGAGGGAAATGAGTGTGTTTAGATTGAGAATTGTTTGAAATATAAAAAAGAAAGTAGACAGTAGATAAGGGGTGAATACTCAAACTTATATACTTCTTTAGCCAAAAGGGAGATGGGAGTATAGAACAAATTTCCAAGTGTGCTTTTGAAATTGATAACCTGGTTTCATTCAAGAAGCAGCTGGATGAGATCTATGGATCAATTAGCTACTACAGCATCTACCAATCAGTCTAAATGGACCGAATGGCCTTCTCTATTTTGTAACCCTTCTTTCATTCTTCCATCACCTTGACAAAGTCATGACAAAAACCACTAAAAGCACCACCACTGCTCATCAGATCAGGGATTGTCTGTGACGGTAGTTGGCAGAGCCAATGTAACAACTATCTTTAAGAATCTTTTATCTGGAAAGGAACACATTAAAAGAAATTGTGGGACCAGTAGCCATGGGCATCAGTCGTTTGGTTTATTAGATATATGGTTGATTAGATATACGTCCAAAGATATACTGGTAGGTAAATTGGCTTATGGGAAAACTGGCCATGGTGTGAGTGTTTTATATCACTGTGTTTGTGTCTATGTGCCTTGCGGCATCCTGTCCAGGGTGTATCTTACCATAACTACTTTTTGGAGTAACAAAGAAAACAGTCTTGTTTCTAATATATGAAGTCAAAAAATATATTATATAACCTACAGTATATAATAACACTCAACAATATATAAACATGAATTCAATATAATGTATATGAAATAAAATTATATAGTACCTGGAAACCAAGCAAAGCACAAAGGTACCATGGTGGCCTATCATTTATGGTGTATATAAGATCCACAGTTGGTTGGTTTTCAAATGTTTCTTCATTTTCTGTGCTGGTTTCACCAATCACAATCGTCTCTGGCTGGAAATTTTGGTCTGCACTCTGTAAAAGCAAAACATTAGAATGAGTTCTGCAGCATTGTAGCATATATCTATAATATATCTTAGAATATGTAATACTCACGCAGCACATCTTCCATGTGACATCTCTGTGTACAAAGTTAAGGATAAGGATGTATCTTTCCATGATCTCTTCATAGCATATAGGTCTAAAGATTGTGATTGCTTCATTTCTTGGAGTGTTTTATGATTTATGTGTTTTGTTTGGTCATCTTTTAACTTAGAATTTGCTCAAATTGCTTAGATCCTGACCTGTTTTGATCAAGTTTGGATCCACTTCCTTGTACAGTATCTTCTTTCTTTAGATGTCTCAAACATGTTAACTTGAAAATATGCAAGAAACAATGTTTATCATCTGAACCTTTTTATGTTTTTTTTTTCAGTTTTTCTTATTACAAATCCAGTTGGAACTGATGTATGAAAGGGAATGTATATGGACTGTGATTCCAGTACATTCACAACTCTTTTATGTAATATGCAATAATGCAATATGGAACAACAGGGTAATTATACAGTATATATACTCGAGAATTTATACTTAAAATATACATAAGTATGGCGCCTCAATCGCCAGCCACGGTGTGCTGCTCTTACGTGTTTTGATTGTTTTTGTGTGTTCAAGTTGTATGTGGAGAATCAAACAGAATAATCGTTACAAGAAAAGAACTTATCAGCATCAGTGATTCCATTCCGCATAATGTAAGTTTTAATTTGTTCCCTTCATTCGACATTTTTGATATTTTAATCAAGGGGTCTAAAGTTCTGTCCCAAGTTCCATGACTCAGTAAAATTGGGGCAAGCGAGGGGGTATGCTTTTGTTGGAGAGGTAAGCGAATGCCTCTCCTCGGGATCATCCTCAGAAAACCACTGCTCTCTGAAAAACAAGCTGGACAAATTTAGGCTCCTGATCAAGACAAAAAAGGATTTCCACCTTTCATTTGTTTTCTGTTTTTTCGGAGACATGGCTCAATGAGCTGATCCCGGACAGTGCGTTGCAGGTGTCAGGTTTCCAATTCTGTAGAGCGGACTGGGAATCAGAGTTACTAGGGAAATCTAGAGGAGGGGGAATTTTCTTCTATATAAATGAAGGCTAGTGTAAGGATGTAACAGTGTTACTAATATTGTGCTCTTGCGATCTGGAATCACTTATTATTAATAATAATATTTAATCACTTATTATTTTATTCCCCTGGTGAATTTGTCTCTTTTATTCTGATAGGCGTATATATTCCTCCACAAGTTTGTGTGCGTGAGGAGCAGCAAAAACTGGCAGATCAGACAATCAGGATGGAATGAATACATCAGGATTCTCTTCTTATAATATTGGGGGACCTTAACAAAGCAAACCTGACTCAGGAACTCCTTAAATATAGACAGCACATTACGTGCACTACCAGGAATAAGAGTACAGTTAGATCATAGCTACAGTACACAACAATAAAAGACTCATACTGCTCCATTCCACGTGCAACTCTGGGACATTCCGATCATGTGGTGGCTGTTTTTATACCGTTATATAAACAAAAACTAAAATTTGCTAAACCTACTGCTATTAATGTTAAGGAATGGACCAGTGGAGCCATAGTAGAGCTACAGAGTTGTTTAGAATGTATAGACTGGGACATTTTTAAAAATGCAGCATACCGTATATCGGTTTTTGTGAGAACAGTTGTACCCCCACTGTAGAAACCAAAAGATTTGAGCCAGAAGCGTTTGTTCATCAAAGCCAGGCTTTATTGTATGCATACAAGGAACCACAATAAGGACCATAGTAGTTATAGTAGTAATAGTAGCTCAAAGGGGATAGGGCTCTACACAGCTTATATATACTTTTCTCTACACCCTCCCCCTCCTGTCTTTGAGGCAGCTTTCTCAAGAAACTCCAGGACTAAGAAAGCACTTAAAACATTCCTTTCTTATAAGGTGTTTAGTATAAACATTCCCCATAAGGGATTTTAGTACAGAAGATGGGAGTTCAGTACAGGGAGGGAGAAGCATCTGTCCTAAGGCAAGCATGAAGGTTAGATGTTTAGCATGTGAATTCAGTAGGAGTTCACAGCTCCTACAACTATATGGGTACTGAGTAAAATACAGATCCTGCTAGCAGGCTCCATGACCACAAAGACTTGATTTAGATATAATAATGACAAGCCCTGGTCTACATCGGAACTTAGGCAGCTTTGGTGGGAAAAAGAGGAAGCTTATAGAAGTGGGGATAAAAATCTATACAACGTAGCTAAATACAAACTGGAAAAGGGAATCAGAGCTGCCAAACAGAGGTTCTCTGAAAGGCTGGAAAACCAGTTTTCAGCCAATAACCCATCTAAAGTGTGGAAAAGCCTGCAAGACATTACCAACTACAAGAGCAGGAAACCCCCACACACACAGTCTGCAGATGACCCCCAATTACCAAACAGGCTCAACGAGTTCTATTGTAGATTTGAAAGACAGAATAGCTGTCTGAGTATTTCAACCTTTACATACAAACTCCAAAAATTAGCCTCATATATTTACCCAGTATCCCACTCCAAGAGCCCCCCCTCCCGCACTGGAGCAAGGAACAAGACGTAATTAAACTTAAAAAAAAAACAGAAAACCAGGAAGGCTCCTGGCCCATTAGGCTTCTGCTTCATTAAAGTGCCGATCAACTAGCACCACTTTTTACAGTGCTGCCTTTTAAAGTTCCACTATTGTACCTATTCTGAAGAAGTACCAGATTAAGGATCTACTGTATATGATTACAGATTGGTTGCACTGGCATTTGTATTCATGAAAACCTTTGAAAGGCTCCTGCTAGCCCACATTAAAAGCACAGATTGCCTGCTTGACCCCTTGCAGTTTGCTTATAGAGCCAATAGATCTGTGGATGATGCAGTTAATATGGGCTTGCACTACTTACTTCAACATCTGGACCACCCAAAGAGCTATGCCAGGATTTAATTGGTGGATTTCAGCTCTGCCTTTAACACTATTATTCCAGAGTTCCTACAGGCTTAACTGTCCTGGCTGACCATGCCAGAGCCATCCGTCAGTGAATTACAAATTTCCTGACAGACAGAAAACAGCTTTTGAGGCTGGGTAAGTATATGTCAAACACAAAAACCCTCTGTATAGGAGCATCACAGGGTTGTATACTCTATCCTCTGCTTTTTTCCCTATATATCAATGACTGCACCTCAAATACCTCCTCTGTGAAGCTCCTCAAGTTTGCAGATGATATGCACTTCTCTTCACCTCTCTCAACTTCACACCATCTGGGTTTTGTTCTCCCATGCATCTGTTGCCAATTTTCTTCTCTCTCTCACACCTGAAGAAAGCTTCACAGCTGAAATGTCGTGTTTATTTTCTTCTGTTTTCAGCATGGAATTATCCTTTACTTGTTTCTTTGCAGTTTACACATGCTGACGCAGTTACCTACTGCACTTGAACTATTTCAAAATATTAGTCTGCTTCTGGAACATTGACAATTCTCAGAGGTAGTTTATTGTTGAAGTACACCTGTTTTGTAACACTTTATGTTCTTTCTTCATAGAGATTGGACAAAAGGTTGTGTTTGCTTGAGACAATAGCCTATGAAAAATTCCTGAAAAGGGAACTGGAATCCCAATTTCACAGTCCAGTCATTAATCTTGGTAACAAAATAAATTAATTGATATTATCGCAACATTTTGCAAATTTCAAATTAAGTGCAAAACCATTAACTTTTTGACTGTATAGTACTGTATAGTTGCCATGTTGTTGCAAACAGATGAGAAGAATCTTGTCTTGCCACAGGCGAGAGCAAGAATTTGTGTGAATTGTGATGTGTGCTCACCTTTCCTGCTCACTTGTTGCTGTAAGCAAATAATAAACATGGTCTCTTAATACACTATCCTAATACAATAATAAACATAAGTACTTTTTTTAAACTCAGATGTGTGCCTTAAACAATTGCTCAATTTATTTTGCTGTTCCGAACATAATGTGTGCACACATAACATAAAATCAGCAAAAATATGGTATGATATGGCCAGCAGCCATATCACTCTGCAACTCACAACAGGCAACCCACTGAAGCTAAGCAGGTGTGCACCTGGTCAGTACTTGGATGAGAGACCTCCTGGGAATAACTAAGAATGCTGCTGGAAGAGGTGTTAGTGGGGCCAGCAGGGGGCACTCACCCTGTGGTCCATGTGGGTCCTAATGCCCCAGTATAGTGATGGTGACACTATACTGTAAACAGGTGCCATCTTTCAGATGAGACGTAAAACCGAGGTCCTGACTCTCTGTGGTCATTAAAAATCCCAGGGCGTTTCTCGAAAAGAGTAGGGGTTTAACCCCAGTGTCCTGGCCAAATTTCCCATTGGGTCTTACCAATCATGGCCTCCTAATAATCCCTATTTATCGATTGGCTTCATTACTCTGCTCTCCTCCCCACTGATAGCTGATGTGTGGTGAGCGTTCTGGCACACTATGGCTCCTGTCGCATCAACCAGGTGGATGCTGCACATTGGTGGTGGTGGAGGGGAGTCCCTGTTACCTGTAAAGTGATTTGAGTGGACTGTCCAGAAAAGCGCTATATAAGTGTAAGCTATTATTATTATCATTATTATTAAAAGTCAAACTGTTTCCTTTTCTGAAGGATAGCTAAGAGATGGGTAATAAACATGGAAACTGATGTTGACTGTATTGACAAGTTTCAGTGTGATGTACGATTAAATAAGTACAGGTTGTGCAGCAGATATTTCACCCCAGAAATGTTTGAACATAATCTGCATGCTGAGGTAACATGTAAGTATTTGTCAGCAAAACCTTTTTGAAATGTAATTTAGTATAGTGTTATAAATTTAGTATAACACAACCACCAATGTAAATGACAGAGCGCTTTTGCAAAGCTGAAAGTAAATGTGTATGTTAATTGGTTGGCAGGTTGCTCTTTTTTTGCAATACTAAGATAAAGTTTCTAAAACCACGTCACCTCCTATGTGTTAGTTCCATGATAAT